TCTCAATTTCTTCTTTGTCCTCCTGAGTAAGCTTGTATGCTGAAAAGAGGTCTTGCTTCTTTGTGACATAATTTGCTTCTATCACAGTCGCAAAGACAGGAAATCCATTCTTTGTATTCAAAGACAAGTCAAAATTGTTTGTATAAATGCCAGTGACCTCCTGAAAAAAAAAAAAACAGATGGGATTTAAATGAGAAAATTAGGAGGCAATTACTATTTTATGCGTAAGCAAGTTCACAAGGTGAGAGTTCTACAATCTCTTCCCCAGGGCGTGCACAATCAATCAGATCATTCAACAGTATAACTTCCTTATGTCTTGGAAGTCGACCAGCTGGCACAATTCCAGGGCTCTCTTGGAGAGTAAGTTTCTGATAATTCCTGTAAATCGTCTGCAGAAAGACAAACGAAGATATCAGATACTTGACTTTTCCAAATCTGTTTCACCAGAAGAAAATAATATGAGAACATTCACCTGCTCAATATTAACAGTGAATGGTCCCTTTGACTGACACTCCGGGCAAGAACCAACTTTGACCTCAGAATACGAATTCTGGAAAAAGGGTCCCAAAATCATTCCACACTTGTTGCAATCATACTTTACTTGCTGCAACTGGGGAAAGACTCCAGAGCGCCGGGTCACAACTCCCCAATGCGAATCATGGTGTTTAAATGGATCTGCCTGAGAAGTAACAATGCAAGGACTAGATTCTCAAATATATGTTTTCGAGTATAGAATCCAAACTAGCCATCAGTAATAGATTCTGACACATTACCTTATGTTGCGAATCTGATCATAAACTGGTAAATTGGTAATGCGAACATAAATTTTTTGATGAATTTGTTTGTAGTTTGGATGTAAGTCAAAGATAACCTTGTTGGCAACTTCTTCCATAACCTCGAGGACAGACTGGGGTGCATCTGCCAGCCAGATGGCAATATTTGGGTGGATATATATGAATTGTTTGTAATCAATCTCGAGGCTACACTTGTTAACTGCAGGTTGAATAAGTTAAGATGAAGAAATTGGACAAATATATCTTCAGAGGCACTATGTAGCAACCTTCCCCTGGGCCCCCAGAAAAAATCCATCTGCGAAGTTCACAAGTTAAAGCTACTCTTAGTGAGTTCTTTACCTGACACCATCTCATTAATCTGCTGGAGATATTCAAAGTCCTTATGCTCATTCTTTGGATTCACATACGTGAGTAAGAATTCCTTGAACTTCTTGGCAATGAAGCGGCGCACTTCATCTCTAGTAACCCACTCTCTCAGTGTTCCCTGAACCCGATACATCTCAAACTCACCTTCATCATTGTCATCATCCTACATCAAAAACCTATGAATTTGAATATTGGACCCATGATGTAATAGTTAACAATATTTTATAAGATGACCCTCAGTTCTTTGCAAAAGCTAGATTATTTAAGCTAGGGTAACTCCACACCTCATATGGGTCATCATCTGTTTGATCCGTCATGGGAACATCCTCTCTTGAATGTCCTCGTTGCGATCTGCCAGGAGAACTTTGCATTGCATCAGTATCATCAAAGCTTCTTGTGTTGTTGGGAGGCCTAAAATCAGCTCTAGTTCTTTTTGATGGCCTATAATTATCATCGTCGGTATCTGCAACCAAAAATGCAATGTTTAGCTTTATTCTTTCTGGAGCTTCCTAAGATATCGCGCCATCTACTCACGAAACTATCGTCACTGGTTGGACTGGAGAGGGTCAAAGATGCTTATGCCCCATGCGGAAAGACTATTTCCGCGACTCAAATGCTTGACACCTAGGTCACAGGAGCAACCTTATCTCTGCACCAACCGCCAGTTCACAGAAAGTTCTAGATTGTAATTAACCCGTGCATACTGGCTGTTTGTCTTTGGCCCACTACATGGATGTGGACTTCCCAAATCCCTACTATTCGTGAGTAGGACCCAAAATCGTGTTTGCCCAAGTAATGCTGTATTGATTCTTTATTTCTACGAAAAAGTGGAGATGGTTGTTTCCGCCAGTAGTGTTTTACAGGAATCTGAGATTGTGTAATTTTGGAACCATTCTAGTGCATTCCACCTTCAGGGATACTTATCATGCATTGATGACCCCGGTCATATCAGCTGTGCATGATAACATCTGTACATCTGGAAACTGCAGGAGTATTAATAGACCCTTAAGCTATTTAAAAAATTTCTTCTGGTTATATTGCATATTGAGCATGTTTAAGTTGACTGAACTCTATGAGTGAGAAGGTTACTGTTCCATGTACGAAGTGAAAGGGACAGTTGGGTTCTGACTCTCTTGAGACTTGGTGAGTATTGGTTTCATGAATTCGATAAGAATTAGGCATGATTTACATCTATCTTGTACACCAGCAGAGCTAAACAGGGGCCAGGATAGGCCCTCACTCACCCTACTTGACTTACAGGAATCATATCTATTTTATTTTGTCCGTCCTATCACTTTATTGCTTCAATTGCTAGTCATTTTTTATTATGTTAGGGCTGGCTCCCTTCATTTGACCTTTATTTGCGTATTTATGAGTTTTTGGTTTTATCTTTTTAATTTGAGAGTGGAAGTGATCGCAATTGGCCTGAAATTGACATCTGATGTTTTGCGAGAGCTCCTCTGTAGTTTTCTTCAACTATTGAATGTTGTGTTTGTTATGTTTCAATTGATTTTGAGAAGTATTGCTATGCTTAATTCTTAAATTTTAGTTTATTGGCTTTGCTATTTTAGTAACTCAATGATACTGCTTGAAAGATGGTTTATTGAATAAATCAAGAAGTT